TAAAACTTCTAGAACAAATTGAACTAACTAAAATTACTGGTTTCTTAGGTTTCTATTCATTCGTTATAATCGTAATATGAATTTTCCTTCTGAATTGTATCAATTATATTTTGAATATCTTGCTTTTCGTATTTGATCAATTTCTAAAGAACATTTTTTCTATACATTGTATGTTTTCTACTAATTTAACCAAATGTAGCACCCTTTATCAGTGAAATCAATATATGTTCCCAGGATTTTGGGCGTAATTCTTGTTATTTACCATTATTATCCTTAACTTTTGGATTTAATAAAGTGAGATAAGTTGAGGGAAAGAGTTACTTTTGGCTTGTCTAGCATATTTCTAGACAAATAAACATTTTAACTTCTACCTGAAATCGCAGAGTACTAATACATGATCCTCTTCCCTTCTTTTAAACTGTTAACTGTTAAATGATGATGATGTGCCTTCGGAGTTCAAACTTCTCCATTTTTAGCAATTTTACTATTGATTCAGATCAGTCTGCTGTGGCATTCTCTATATTTACACAACTCACATGCATTTAGGCTTCATTAAGTTCTTTATGAGAAGTGGGAAGATGTGGGGTGGGCTGATGGTACACTCATGTTGAGACTCCTCATGTTGTAACATTTTATCCTTCAGTTGTGCTGCAAATTTCCAGTATTTGATGAGTGACGCTGCTTTTTTCTTTCTTTCAGCATAATTAATTCCCTCGTTTTAGCCCATTTGATATGGAACTGTTAGAACAGTAATGCCCAGAGTGATATCTGGATAATGTATTAGCTGAGAGTGAATGTTGGATGAAAGGAAAGATAGTTACTGAGGCATTTTTATTTGAATAAAACGTATTGCCACTTGCTCCAACCGCCATCCTTGTCAGTTGCTTTCTTGTCGTGAAGTGTTTGGTGATTTAGCTCTTGAGAAAGAAAATTTAGAGGCATAAGATATTTGCCAAAGAAAATTCAGGAGGTTTACGACTTTTCCAAAGAAAATCTAGAGGTAAACGACATTTGCCTGGTTACTGTGCGCGTAAAGCGACCTGATTATTCTCAACCGTCAACCCCTTATGCCCTCTGATTGTGAAAACAGCGGTATATAATTGCAAGTAGAACTTTGAGATAGTTCATAATCATGATTAATGCCATGCACTTGTAGATATATGTAGGCAAAAGTTGAGTACTCAATCTCCTATTTAGAATGAGTTGATTTTGCGTCATGCCACAGAATATTTTCAATTTCCAACTCAGTGGCAGTCTAGAAATCTCAACCTCAAGTAAAAATTTTGTGGTTAGGATCTTTGATGATGAATGCATTCAAGAAAATACTATGATATTCATTCACAGAATTGAGAATATTGTCTTTTCTGCAGGTGTCTTCGCCGACAATTATTGTTGAAAGAGCAGGGTCTTATGCTTGGGCACACAGAAGTTGGAGAGTTAGGGAAGAGATTGCTCGTACAGTTACATCAGCTATTAGTCTGTTTGGATCTACTGAACTACCACTTCAACGTGCCATTTTACCATCCGTATGTTCAGTTCATCTATTTTTTACTGATGCCTATTTTGTTTAGGTTCAACGTTGGAGTAGAAAGAGAGTGGTTGTCAATCGTATGTCTTTGGAGTAAGTAGTGGCCTCATGTATTGTTTTCATGATTCAGATTTTGCAGATGTTGAATGATCCAAATCCTGGAGTGAGGGAAGCGGCTACTTCGTGTATCGAGGTTAGGATTTTTTTTTTTTTTTTTTTTTTTTTTTTTTTTTTTAACATGATCACCTACAATTTTATTATGTAGTGTTAGTTGTACTACTAGTGAATTTTGTCATTTAGTAGGCAACTATTTCTAACATTTAAGGGTTTGAAATGGGTGGGTACTGGGTGGCGCACTGGCTTGAATTGATTCATGGTTCCATTACTCTTTAGGATTTGCTATGGACGCTATCATTTGTTGATAAGGGGGTGTATTCGTTTATGATAGTTCAAGAGTTTTACGACTTTAGAAATCTTGGTGTATTCAATTTAGATTTCTTAAGAATTTTAAAAGTCTTGATGTATTCATTTGATATTTTAAAAAGTCTTACAAAATCCTGAAGTATTTAACTTATTTGAGACTAGGATTTGTTAAGACTTCTTAAAATTTGCTGGGATTTCAAAAGAGAAAACCTTATGCGAAATTCGATTCCAAATCCAACTACATACTTAAAATTTCATAGAATTACTTCAAAATATGAAAATCTTAAAAAAAATCTCAAAATCATACGAAGTCTCAAAATGTCACTCTAAATTCTAAACGAATCCACTCCCTTAGTTTTTGTTGGAATATCACTTGTGAGTTGTCCCACGTTGATTTTATAGGGACAATGAGTTATAAGCCCATTGAGCTACTCCTCCCATTTCCAATTGGTTAATTGGTTTTAGGATGGAACCACACTAAGGTGCATATAGGCTCACACTCTTATGGTGAGCTTCACTTGCGTCGGACCGCACCCTATTCTCCCGATTCTTACATGGTCTATATCTACTCTCTCTGGGCTTGGGCTTACTCCTCTACCCGGCTTGTTCTGGGCTTGGGCTTGGGCTTGGGCTTGGACTTGGGCTTATGAAGGGACTCACAAGTGAGGGGGGTGTTGGAATACTTGTAGTTGTCTCACATTGATTTTATAGAAAAAATAAGCCTAGTTTATAAGTCTAGTAGGCTACTCTTCCCATTACCAATTGGTTTTGGGATGGAACTCACTAAGTTGCACCTAGGCTCACCCTCTTATGGCGCGCTTTACCTGCGTGAGACGCACCCTTTTCCCCCGATTCTTATAGTTTCTGTTGCATGTTGAAGATTTACCATATCCATGTCGTTGATTCTGAATATGATTGCAGTTCATCCTTTTTGGAGTTAATAATATGAATAGTATTCTTTCTTATATTTTATTTTCCTTATCAAAGCTGTAACATAGTATCCTCTATCTGCAACTCTAGAAATGCCGACCTCTTTGTATACTTATTTCTTTATTTATTTTCCTCAGGAGATGTATACTCAGGCTGGCTCTCAGTTTCTTGAAGAACTACACCGGCATCATCTACCGACATCGATGGTACTAACTACTATCATTGTCTATTATATGCTCATTTGGACTCTAGTACTCATTGAGAAATAGAACAGCTTTAGCAATTTACACAATTTTAACTAATTTGAAGTTTTTTTTATTGTATAATGACTATGTTTGAATTATTTCTCAAGTATAAGTTGTCATGATAATTGCTGCAGTTAAAGGATATTACTGCAAGATTAGAAAAAATTGAACCGAAGAAGGTTCATTCTTCTGATGCTATTGTTAGCAATTATCATCCTAGTGAAACCAAACCAGCAACCATTAGTACAAAGAAAAGCAGCACCAGGTCCAAAAGCTCAACACGTGAGACTTCTCTCTTTGGAGGTTAGTTTTTGTATTTTTTAATGGGTTTTATATTACATTCAAGTGTAGGTAATGTTTTTTTAAGGATTTTGATGTTCTTCCAGTTACAATTTGACATCTGTTACTTTGAAAATCATATTGTTCTTTAGGGTCATAAGAAATTATAAGGTTTAAAGACTATATCTTGTAAGCATAGATTGTAAAGGGTAAAACATTATTAAGTTACTCATAGGCACTAGAATTCAAACATATTGTCACTCGTGCAATGCAAACATATCATGAAACATTTATATTCACATCTGCTTTAACTTGTAATTTCTCGTGTCCTCTGACTCGGCAGCAGATAATGATATCACGGAGAAACCAGTCGAACCAATTAAAGTTTATTCTGAAAAAGAGCTAATAAAAGAGTTTGAGAAGCTGGCTTCTACTCTTGTGCCTGATAAAGATTGGTCTGTCCGTATTTCAGCCATGCAGAGACTAGAAGGCCTTGTTATTGGAGGTTTTGCTAATCTGTATTACTTTCTAAAAGTGCTGGTTGCCAGTTCTTCTGAGAGGATCATGTTAATTGCTTTCATCTTTTGCTTGCAAATTTCTTTCCCAATATGCAAAACACATGAGATGACCAACTGATAATGAATGGTGGAGTGGGTGTATTTTACAATTTACCTGATTTTTCTGTAAAATTAAATAATGCTATATAATTTTATTAATTTATGTTTTAGCAACCGGAAATACTTATTATTTTCTGTTCATGTCATTCAGGTGCAGTTGATTATCCCTGTTTCCGTGGACTTCTTAAGCAGCTAATTGGGCCCTTGAGCACTCAACTATCTGATCGACGATCTAGCATCGTGAAGCAGGTGTGGCCACAAGCAACTTGACATTTCTCCTTTCTCTGAGTGTAGTATTGATATTGCACAAACTAGAACAACATGGAATTGTTATCACATAGTAAATAGCAATTTTTGTTATTAGCTGTTCTCATGAAACTTTTTAAGTGATAAACCATGAAATATGCATGCTGGTCTGAATCTGCTTTAGTGTGATTAATTTTATTCTATGAACATTTTTGTAGCTTCACCATATAGTTTGAGATTTGTTTCTATGAAATGACTACTGATGCTTCTAGCATTATCATATATGATAAGGCCAATGAAAATACGTCTTTTTGTACGGAAAGTTACTTCCATTTTTCTTTACTCATAGCATAAGTTGTACTTTTGGTTTTGATACCATCTGTTCTCTTTCGCAGGCATGCCATCTGTTATGCTTCTTATCAAAAGATCTCTTAGGGGACTTTGAGGCATGTGCCGAGATGTTTATCCCGGTGAGAATAGTACTTATTTGTATTTACTGTTGGCTAATCAAACTGTTCATCCTTCTCACTTTCTGCCTTTTAACTTAGGTCCTTTTCAAGCTTGTTGTGATAACAGTGCTTGTAATTGCAGAATCTGCAGATAACTGCATAAAGACGGTATTCATAGAATCGTAGAGTTTCTCATTTTGCTAGTTCATTTATTTGTCTATGCCTTTCATTTACATAATTCTGATTTTCAGATGTTGCGAAATTGCAAAGTTTCCCGTGTGCTTCCCCGAATTGTTGACTCCGCGAAGAAAGACCGAAGTGCTGTACTACGTGCAAGGTCTGATTCTGTTTCACAATAATCTGAGTCTTATGGCTCATGTGCTTTTGCATTAATGCTTCTATTTCCCAAATTAGGTGTTGTGAGTATGCACTTCTAATCCTTGAATATTGGGCTGATGCACCTGAAATACAACGTTCAGCTGACCTCTATGAAGACCTCATTAGATGTTGTGTGGCAGATGCAATGAGTGAGGTACAGATATTGAGACCTTGTCATCTACCTATGGTTGTATGTTAGGCGGATTATTCTACAATTGTTTTCTAACAATAAGTTTTCCTGAATTAATATTCATGTTTATAGTAGAACACCGCAAGCCATTTACTTTAGTACTTCTTGTGCTATAGCATTATTCTTTTAAGGCATTCTCAACAGGTACGATCTACCGCCAGGACTTGTTACAGAATGTTTGCAAAAACCTGGCCTGATCGATCTCGGCGTTTGTTTTCTTCCTTTGATCCAGTTGTTCAAAGGGTATAGTCACCTCCTGCTTTCAAATTGAATTTTCTTAATACAACGAATACTAATTTTGAAAAGAATAATTGTTAGGTAATAAATGATGAAGATGGAGGAATGCACAGAAGGCATGCTTCCCCTTCTGTTCGTGAAAGAAGTTCAATGACCTCTCAGACATCTGCACCTACAAATGTACCTGGTTATGGGACCTCTGCTATAGTTGCAATGGATCGAAGTGCTAGTCTACTCTCACAAGCAATGTCTATCAGTAAGGGGACAGACCGTAGTCTGGAAAGTGTGTTGCACTCGAGCAAACAAAAGGTATCTGCTATAGAAAGTATGCTGAAAGGTTTGGACACAACAGGGAAAAGCCGATCTTCCAGCCTGGACCTAGGTATTTATTTGATTTTACCTTTTTGCCACTTTCTAGTCTTTGGCCCTGAGAGTTATTAATTGCTCATGTTGCCTGTCTGGCATATCCGTGAGTTTTAGCATCTCGAATAGCACCGAATTACTGACTCTATTATCTTTAATATCTGAATGACCAGCTATTTATTGTATTGCCCCTAGTGCAGGAGTTGACCCCCCATCATCTCGTGACCCACCATTTCCCCTTGCGGTCCCAGCTTCAACTAGTCTCACAAGCTCCTTAGGCGATGCAATATCTTCTACCTCTAAGGGTGACAGTCGCAATGGAGGCTTGTCGCTTTCTAATATCATGACACAAATTCATGCTTCTAAAGGGTCGGGTAAATTATTATACCATAACAACACGGGAAACGAGCTTCCAGCCCATTCTTCATACTTACCCAAGAGAGCTTCTGAAAAGGTACATGATAGAGAGAGAGGATTCGTGGAAGAAAATGCTGAATTCAGGGAACCTAGACGTTACACGAATCCCCATGTTGACAGGCAATACTCAGATACACCATATAGAGACGCAAATCATCGGGATTCATTAAATAATTACATCCCGAACTTTCAGCGTCCTCTTTTAAGAAAGAACGCAACTGGACGAATGTCTGCTGTCAGGCGGAGGAGCTTCGATGACAGTCAGCTCCATATGGCAGACCCGTCGTGCTATTCAGACAGCCTGGTTTCTCTTTCTGATGCTCTAACCGAGGGCCTCAATTCAAGTTCCGATTGGAATGCTCGTGTGGCCGCATTCAATTACATCCATTCCCTGCTTCAGCAGGGCCCACGAGGCATTCAAGAAATAACCCAGAGTTTCGAGAAAGTCATGAAACTGTTCTTCAAGCACTTGGACGATCCCCACCATAAAGTTGCTCAGGCTGCCCTCTCGACCCTAGCAGATCTTATCCCTGCCTGCAGAAAGCCATTTGAAAACTACATGGAGAGGATTCTGCCCCATGTTTTTTCCCGTTTGATTGACCCAAAGGAATTAGTGAGGCAACCCTGTTCGACTACATTGGATATCGTTGGCATGACGTTCGGTACAGATTCCCTTCTACCTGCTCTGCTGCGTTCCCTGGACGAACAACGCTCTCCGAAAGCAAAACTGGCCGTCATTGAGTTTGCTATTGGCTCATTCAACAAGCACACTTCGAGTTCTGAGGGTTCCACCAATAGTGGCATCCTCAAGCTGTGGCTTGCAAAATTAACGCCGCTGGTACATGACAAAAATACAAAATTGAAAGAAGCGGCGATAACATGCATAATATCTGTTTATACTCGTTTCGACTCGACATCAGTTTTGAATTTTATCCTTAGTCTATCCGTCGAGGAACAGAACTATCTCAGGCGGGCCCTCAAGCAGTACACTCCCCGCATAGAGGTGGAGCTGGTGAACTTTCTTCAGAGCAAGAAAGAGAGGCGGGGTAAATCCTCATATGACCCATCTGATGCGGTCGGGACATCCTCCGAAGAGGCGTATATTGCATTGTCGTCGAACAAGCCCCAACATTTTGGAAGGTACTCTTCTGGTTCTGTAGATAGCGATGGTGGTAGAAAGTGGAGTTCCCTTCAAGATGTGTCCTTTGCAATGGGGTCTGTTGGTGTTTTGAAGCCTGATGATGTTAGGGAAGATTTGTCTCATCATTTGGTGAGGAGTAATTCAGACCCTGATGTTCCCTCTTCAAATTACAAAAGTCTGAGGGGCGCGTCTGGTGATATGATTGGGTCTTGGGCAGTGGGTGGCTGTCCGGATATTGAGATCTCTTCATCAGCACAAGTGAATATTAACGGGTCGGTTGGATCTGATCATCTGCAGAAGCCCGCGGGCTTTGGCATGGCTAATGAACCTTTCTCTGAATCTGAATTAGCATTAAATTATACTCAGCTCTGTGCGTTGAACTTAAATTCTGCCACGGAAAGTGGTCCAAGCATTCCCCATATTCTTCATTTGGTGAGTTTCGTACGTTCTAGTTGTCTTGAACCCTCTATAACACTTGTCTTTGAAATTGCATTCTTAATAATTGTAGAAAGAACCTCTATGGATTTGTTCTAGATATTTTATTTATATTTATTATATTTAATATGCATACTTCTGTGTACTTTTGAGTAGATTTGTAATGGCAAAGATGAGAGGTCTACAATGAACAAGTGCCGTGCACTTCAGCAGTTGGTTGAAGTTTCTGTATCTGCTGATCACTCGGTTTGGAGCAAGGTAGTATTTTTTTCTTAAGTCCTCCCATCTAGGTTTGCCTGTTTCCCATGTTTGTACTTTTAATGTCAATTTTATATTTATTTTTTCCCTTCTTTATTTTTTTTCATTTTGCGTTTCACTACTAGCAATCACTAATTATCGGTGTGTTTTCAGTATTTCAATCAGATATTGACGGCTGTACTGGAAGCTCTGGATGATTCCGATTCATCAATCCGTGAGCTGGCTCTCACTGTGATAGTTGAAATGCTGAAGAACCAGGTCTTCTATATTTTGTGCACGTTTGTTAATTGGCTTAAACTAAACTTCTTTTGCATTCAGCGATTGTTCATCCATGTGAACTTAACCGTTTCATTGGTCTGAGTAATTGTGTCTGTGTTAATTAACAGAAGGATTCCATGGAAGATTCTGTTGAGATCGTAATTGAAAAGCTGCTAGACGTGACTAAAGACAGTGTTCCAAAAGTAATTACCTTTTCTAACGTCATAGTTGCTTCTCCTTGCCGTTTTTCCTCTTTTTTCTTACGTTCTTCATTTTTTTAACTCAGGTGTCCAGCGAAGCAGAACATTGCTTAACTATAATCTTGTCTCAATACAACCCATTCAGATGCCTGAGTGTGAGTGTTATTAAATATTTGCACTTCATCGTCGTGATAAGGCACTGTTTGAGTTTTTTTTTTGTTCTAGTTTGGAATTCTTTTCCATCTTTTGTTGCGTTTTTAATCTTTTCATTATTGAGTCACTCCCTGACATTTTACAGGTCATTGTTCCTTTTTTGGTTACTGATGATGAGAGAACTCTTGTCACCTGCATTAACTGTTTGACAAAGGTAATTAATTACTTTGAGGAATTATTGGTTATAATAAATTGCTGTGGAATTTTGCCAAATAATATCTGGGGGACAAAATCGGAGTCTGTTGTCAGTCAATCTTCAATTTGGGAGTCTGCTTCCACTTTCTTGAAATTTACAAAATCTGTTGGAGTGGAAAATAAATTTGTTCCAGGACTTTCACGACCTTTTTTCTATCTGCAGCTTGTGGGTAAGCTCTCCCATGAGGAACTTATGGCTCAACTGCCCTCATTTTTGCCTGCTTTGTTTGATGCATTTGGGAACCAGAGTGCAGATGTTCGCAAGGTAATCGATGGCTACAGAGTAGTTCTTAATTTTCGAAAGAAACCTGTAAAATGAAAACTCCATACATCATCAAAACATCTATTCTTAAATCTTAAAATGGTAATTCTACTTTAGGTAAATATTTCGCTTGATAATAGTTTTACTCCGAAGCTGTAATGTTAATGCTCGACGTTCACACTTCACATTTCATTCTCCATTGAATTGCATGCAGACTGTAGTTTTCTGTCTGGTTGATATTTACATCATGCTCGGGAAGGACTTTTTACCGTATTTGGAGGGTCTTAACAGTACACAACTTCGGCTGGTGACAATATACGCAAATAGGATATCACAGGCAAGGACCGGTACTCCTATTGATGCCACCCAATGATGAGCTTCTGGCTCTTCTGGTATGGAGTCTCATCATCACTTGGCATTGGTTCTTAATTTTGATATTTAATAATAATTGTGTATGTGTAAATTTGTGTGATATCTTCTACACTGGGTCAAGCCTTTTTGTGTAGAGTTTTTTTATACAAGGTTTATTTTTGGTTATGCACGCATAACTTTGCATTGTGTTTAGAGAACCGATGAGAAAGCGAACAAGGTATTTGGTGTGTGGAGGAAACTTTGAAAATATGTGCGTATTTGTTTGCTTATAAAGAAATTGTTTTTCCCACTGCTGAGATTTAACGCTGTTTTGAGTTTATCCTCGATAATGTGTAAGAAAATTATGGAATTATTGTGGGGGTAAATAAGAAATATTACGGAATCAGGGTTATTATTATTATTATTATTATTATTATTATTATTATTATTATTATTATTATTATTATTATTATTATTATTATTATTATTATTATTATTATTTTTTTTTTTCTAAAAAAAAAGTGGGCCTATTTAAATTATATGTATTCACATTATATTTTAAAAAATATATCTAACTTGTGTTTGTTACTTGTGATTATAATTTTGTATTACTTATTCTTACAATAATTCGGCTCGCGTGCATGAGCATGACTTGATGACTAGTTTCTTTAAAGGATGTTTTAGAGTGAACATAGCCATCAGAAAATGGATTAATAATGCTCACACTTAAATTGGCTTGTTCACATGTGTGCCGAAAATGAAGTTTTGAAATAGCATGGCAACCAGAAAATGAAGGTTTGTGCGGACAGGTGTGTTTGGTTATTTGTTTGGTTAATTATTCCGTCTAGGTTGCGTCGTGTTTTCGAGTGTAACCTCCCAGGTGGCAAGGATTCGGGTTTTGCCCATGTACGATCATGTTTTTTTATGTCAATTAGAAATTATGTCGTTTGGAAAAAAAAAAAAAAAGAAGTAGCATGGCACCTATTGACATCTCTTCTTGTGCAATCCGTTAAAACAAGAATTTCAAACCAATTCATATAGTCTTTGAACATCATCGTATCGCAAACTTATTCAAATTCCTAACTTAGCACATCATAGACCAGATGATGCACGATAAGAGAATTTCCGACTCATGTTTGTGGCCAACTATTTTTTCAGGCAAATTTTTATGATATGTAAAAGACGCGATCTATGTTTTGTGCTTGGAAACACGATTTCAATTGCATTTTTTTCATAGCTTGATCTTGATTCGTTACTGTTTCATTTGGAGCGTCTTCATGCATACACTAAAGCGATGATCGGAAATACCACATAAACGTGCTTGTATCCTGAAATGAAGCCAAGCGACAACCAAGAAGAATATATTGTCCATGATGTTTAATCCAATGAAAAGAAGTGAAAGGCATTTTATTCTTTTTTTATTCAGGTAGGTATCAAAAGGTATCACATCTCCGAGTTCTCTGCACATTTACATGCTTGTCTACATATGTTAATCTGCCCAAAAATCTATCCAAAACTATGCTAATAAAGAATCCAAGACTATATGCTTGCATTCTCAATATGTAAGCTTATAATTCAATGACATTTCTCTCGCTAATTCTGAAGCGATGTACTCAAATGCCGTTTATTTGTAAAACTCGAATGCCTCTTCTCAGTGATGGATCCAGAAATTTCACTCAGGGGGGGCCACTTTTAAATGTTAAATAACGAGCTTGAAGTTTAAGTCGAAACACTTATTTCATATAAAAATGTATTTACTATAAATGTAAATATTGATATGTGTACCGTCACGTTTTTAAAAACTTATAATCCGTATCGCCCTCAAACTTTAAATAAATAAAATAAACAAAAAAAATGAGATTTCATGTATATCAATTTTTGTTGATGCAAGCTTATCAATGATCATTTTTTTTTAAGAAAAAATAAATAAAGTTAAAAATATATGATTGCACACACAAAAAAAAAGAGTAAAAAATCAACATTAAAAAACATAACAATCCAACTACTAAATACTCGGTTTTATAAATCGCTAAATCGATTTACAGTTAAGAGACCCAATGAGTAAATCATTATAAATATTTTTAAAAGCTTATCTAAAAAGTTAAAAAATATAACGATTGTTAAAATATTATTCAATAAAAAAATAATATTATTAATTTAAATAAAAATAGCATAGATATAGGTTTTAATTAGTAATATATTGTAAATATTTTTTTACATTTTTTAAAATTATTAAAGGAATCAAAAATAAATTCTTTTTAATTAATAAAACAATATAAGTTTTATAATTATTATTTACATAGATATTTAAATATATGATAATTTTACCAAAATATTTATTTTATGGAATTACATTTTCATAAAATTGGATTTTTGATATTTTTTTTAATGACACTTATTTTGAAATAAATATAATGTGAATTATTATCAGTTACGTGCAGTGCACATGTTGTGTATTTAATATTTATTGTTTAATCCAAATTTGAGTTCCAAATTTAAAAGTAAAATAAGTAAGTATTCATGACTCACGGTTCATGATTAACTTAGAGTTAAATGAAATAGTCAATTATTTATATTTTAATAAATTATTCAACTACTTAATTTGATTTAGATAATTTATACAAAAATAAATCATTTTAAATAATAAAACAATATAAGTTTTATAATTATTGTTTAAACAGATATTTAAATATATGATAATTTTACCAAAATATTTATTTTATGAAATCACATTCTCGTCAAATCGAGTTTCTGATAAAAAAAAATGACACTTATTTTAAAATAAATATAATATGAATTATTATCAGTTACGTGCAGTGTACATGACATGTACTAATTTAAATAAACATGTTTTATAGTCAATAATTGCTTATTATTATTTTGGTTGTTGTTGTTGTTGTTGTTGTTAGTAATTTAAATAAACATGTTTTATTAGTAATTTAAATAAACATGTTTTATAGTCAATGTTGTTGTTGTTGTTGTTGTTGTTGTTGTTGTTGTTGTTGTTGTTGTTGTTGTTGTTGTTGTTGTTGTTGTTGTTGTTGTTGTTGTTGTTGTTGTTGTTGTTGTTGTTGTCATAATTCATACTTGCATGTAATAATATGTCACATATTAAAATTTACAACGCACACGTGGTGCGTCGCCGAAGTTCACAATGACGACACACTAAGAAAAGCGTCAAACATGATTATTACTTGCGTCAAACATGATAATTTCGTGACATCAAATTTAGCAACGCAAACAACGACACTTTTAATAGTGTAAGTAATTTTTTCTACAAATAAACGTCATTAAACAAAAAAATAAGCATCTGTCAAAAAAAAAAAAGGTTTGTGTTACATTATTTTATGTTTGAGTTATTGTGATTTCATTAACTCACTTTGTGAAAAATATTTTGGTTCAATTAATTATAGAAGTTTGATCTAATATTGATTCTATTTTATCAAAATGAGTTTTAAAATTTATGTGTAACATTACAAATGTCTATTATATATCACAGTTGCATATTTTGGTAATTAAGGTTTATGTTTTGTTAATTTGGTCATTTTATATACATTAGTTTCTTAACACCACATGAAAAGAGTATTTGTACTAGTATACTGATTTCATAATGTTATATTTAAAGATGTCTACCCTATGTTTTTATATAATTAAATACGCGAAACTTTTTCACATAGTCATAGTCTGATTTTGGATATACAACGATAAATATGCAGCAAAATATCGCATAATAATTAATTATACAGTTCATTTAGATATGCTATATAACACTTATAATATTTCGTGCATTGTGGCGTCAAAATACAAAATCATTTAACAAGGTGGTGTTTAAAAGAAAAATAATATGTTTGAATTTTGATATATTAATATATCATTTAACAAGGTGGTGTTTAATATATTTTAATGTACAAAAAAAAAAAATCCCCACCACAAATATTCAGTGAGCAATGCATGCATAGCTTCCATATATAATCTGAGATTGTTTCTTCCCCATTTCCGAAGGAGAGGAAATCGCTTTGCGTAAGGTCTAAAATCATTTTCCATTTTGTCACTATTATTTTTTTTCTGCACTATAAATACACCACTCTCTGCATTGACATCCATATATTAATATATATATATATATATATATATGCAAAAAATATATAAAGAAAAATTCATAAATTCAAAATCACCAACTAAATAAAAATGGCAAGCATGGCATTTACAAGCAGCCTGATCACTAAGCTCCAAGCGGCCAACAAGCTCGCTTTCATCCTTCCGAAACCTCGCGCCTCCACGGCCTTCTTTCCTGTTTCCACCAAACCGAATTTCGGCCGTGTACATTTTTCTTAGTATATTTATATATTGTTTCGTCTAATTTATGCATCTGACGACATAATCATTCTTATATTTATCATACTATATGAGGATTAATTTAACAGAAAATATTGTTACCGCAGGCAAACAGGCGTTATGGAGCCATGGCGTACGATGAAGCTGGTGAGGCGGCCAAACAAGGCCGTGAGGCGGCCAAGAAAGGCGTAGATGCCGCCAAGAAGGGTGGCCAGCAAGTGAAGAAAGAGGCTGCCTCAGCCATGAATAATGTAAGTAAATAATAATAATAATAAAAGAAATTTGATTATTTTTTAGTATATATAGTTATTATAAATTTCGTGTGTGAAAATTAATTATTTTTAAAAGTAAATAAAAACTTTGAAAAAAAAAAAGAAAATATACGAGCGCCAGACTACCTAGGCGTCCGTCAAGGTGTGATACCTTAACAACCGCCTAGTCTGTCTTTGCGCAATCGAGTCTGTCTAGGTGTCGTCTAATCGTTAGAGTGCGTAAAACGATCGCCTAGACAAAAGTCGTGGCGCCTTGACCGACTTGTAGTATAGTGCTTAATTGTAAAACAACAAACATTTAGTTTGAGATTGAATATGCATAATTGGTTTTTCAATTTTGCAAATGTAAGCAAAAACTTCACCAAAAATACTATTTATTTCACATCATTTTTTTTTTCTCTATAATCCTATTAACATTGTTTTAAAAATTAAAATCAGTTAGTTATATATTTTCTAATAAAAATATACAATTTACCCTTACAAATATTATTAAGTAATCTCAATTTTATATCAAATTAATTTGTAATATAATTTGTTTTGTGTGGTGTGTTTTTACTTTTTATGGTTCCGTAACTCTTCAATAATGTTGACAAAACAAACAATAAATAGGCCGGCGAGAAAATAGAGGACATCGCCGGGAAGGTGCCGGGGACCGCCCAGGAGGCCGCCGGCAAAGCGAAGCAGACGGCGGCCGACGCTGCCGAAAAAGTGAAGCAGACAGCGCAGGACGCGTGGGGGACCGTTAAAGACACCGCACACAACATCAAAGAGACGGTGGTTGGCAAGGCGGAGGCCGCCGCCGACTCTGCTAAAAACGCCGCTGGAGAAGCGAAAACCACCATCCACTCCCAGAAATGAACACCCACTTTATTTATTAGATAGATACTATATATTTCATTGAAGCTTAATTTTTTATTTTTTATTTATTTATTTTAGGAATAACGATTTTGGGCCCTGAGAAAAAGAGGCGCTAAAATCTAGTTTGTTTAGAGGACTAGATAGTGATGTGCTGATGATGCATCCATGGTCTTTGGGGTAGTAATAATTTTATCTCTATTAATTTCATTTGTATTTTTCTTTCCCCTTTTCTTCTAATTTTCTGTAATTAACTAATGTATATTTTATATTTATTTTTGTTATAAAAAAAAGGCATATATGTATTAATTAGAGGAAATGCTACAATTTCGTTACGAAACCATTCCGTCGAGATTCGTAACTGCTAGATCATCATGTAACCGTCTTGGACAAGTGATCTAACAATTATTACAAACCCCCGACGGAATTGATTCCGTCGAGATTTTTTATATGCATATATTAAAATTATAAAGAATCCGATTTGTGATCTTTTTACCGTTTAATCAATATAAAATCAGTTGGTAAATTTCGTATATCAACAATAGTTATAGTTACTTGGATATAAGTTTTTTTCTGTTCTGATTGGATTTTGTGGTAAACAAGTGTTAATATTAAAAAAAAAAATTGGTTGAGTTAGGTTCGAGTGAGATTATTAATTTGTATTGAAATAATATTTAAAATAAAATAATTTAAGTTGATTTGATGTAAAAGTATAAGAGATGTGATTAAAAGTGATGTATAGTTAAAATATGTGAGTAGATGAATAATTATATAAAGTTGATGTGTTGTGTTTTTTTTAATTAATTTTTTTTCAATCTGTTG